GCCTTCAGGACAAACTCCCCTCTAAGACTGAAACTCAAAGGGAACACACAAACAGGCATGTAAGTTTGCTGGCGACCACATTGGTCTACTGATGAGTGGGAAAGGGGAACCGCAGCAATGAAGAAATGGGCTGAGTTCAACCACAGTCCATTGAATCCCGTTGACCTGGAGATGAGAGAGAGAAGAGGAAGGGCCGGTTGGGCCAAAGTGTGGTGAGACCTAGGGACACCTGAGCCCATGGACAAAGACATAGCTACAGAGGGATAGAGCTGAGAGTGAAGCATCCAGCTGATGTGAAATGAGGGGAGATGCACAAGAACACCCAAACTTTCAGACAGTACCTATTTGACCTAGCCTCAACCATCAGAACTCAACTAGAGGAAGATTGAAAAAAAAAAAATTTTTTTTTTTTTAAATTAAGGAAACAAGGGTAAATTGCTTCAATTTGATGAACCTGACCTACACTCAGAGCAGTTGTTGTTGTTGTTGTTGTTAAGTGCCTTTGAGTCGGTTCCGACCCATAGCGACCCTGTACAGGGTTTCCGAGGGTGTAAATCCTTACACTCAGAGCAGTAGTTACTCTAAATACCAACAGAGAGGGAAAGAGTCTTCAAATCAAGTATCAATGCTATCCGCTCTGTACACAGAATAGATAGGGATGGGCAACTTAGACATTGGCTACCTAAAATGAGGGGGCAATAGAGGCATGAAGTGACTGGCTTACAAGGTTTCAAGAGGGAGTTTAGTTTAAGAGTGTGGGGGGAAATAAAGAGTCCCCACTGCATAGCTGTCATCTTGTCTAGATGGGTCTGGTGAAAAGAGATGGGGATAAGATTCATAAGATTCAATAGTGAATAACTGTTACCATGACTAATCGCGACTGTCATAATTGTAAAGGTAGAAGTTTTGTAACAGAAAAAGGGGAGTAGTTAATCTTACAGTCCAGAAACAGAGGACCCTAGGACCATCAAGAGAGGAACGCACAAACAGAATGCGGGACCTTATCCAGAGAAGCAGCAGCACCAGAGATGGACGCAGAGATGGGGGCATGGAGAGGGGGAGCGGCTGAGGACTCTAGATTCATCAACTAAGAAGAGAAGGACTAAGAGCTGGTGGCCAGGAGCAGACATGCAGAATGTGCCTTTTAGAGATGTAAATTATTATATATGCCTGAGTGTTGTTGTTTTATTTATTTGTTTTTAAAAAGCTAAAGTGGATAGAGAGAAATACTGTTAACTGATGGTACATGGAAAGGATTATAATCATTGTAATGAAACAAGATGTATGATTTGTTGAATGTAAAACTGATGACACGCCCTGTAAACTTTCACTCAATCCACAATAAAAACCTTAAATAAATAAAAATCCATGATGAACAAAATAAATTTTAAAATAAAGAGGGAATCCCACTGGACTGGGATTGGGTGGAGAAGAGTGGATTCCCTAGGGCACCAAAGATACAAGCCTCCCCCACATTCCCCCTGCCACCCAAAACTGCAGTCCACAAGACAGCTCACACTGTGAGGACAGGACTGAGCCGAGGCGAGGCCTTACTCGTTGAAGCAATGTGCGGCAGACACCAGCCATCTCTGATTCACCACCGTAGCCCCGCAGAAATGCTCGTGGTTTTCTCGGAGGCTGGCTTGCCACGGGAACTCCCCGGGAGACGCTTCCACGCCACCCACGATCCTCCCTGCAGCCCTCCAGGCCGGCTGCAAACCGCAGTCTGCAAGAGAGAACATTCCCCAAGGGGCATATGTGGCCCACCTACCCTCATCACAACCAGCCCAAGTTCTAGCCTCCTCCAACTTGGCCTTCCTAATGCCTCTGGGGTCTCCACTTCCCACCCCCTTCACATCTTCCAGCTGCCAAACAGTCAAGATCACAGGCACAGGAAAGGCACCCCCAGGCTCTCTCTACCCTTGCTGGGTCTCCCCACTCTGTCATCTACACTAGCTGTATCCTTTAAGGCTGACGCCGGGTTCAATGTTGATGTTCAATGCTGTTGAGTCACTTCAGACTCACAGAGACCCTGTATAGGATTTACAAGAAGTAGCTGATGGGCTTGAACCACCGACTTTGTGGTTAGCAATCCAAACGCTCCTGAGATGAATTTGGGCCAAGCTGACAGGTAGACCAGAGTGGGACCCTTGCTGTCTCATTGCTCCAGCTACCTGGGGGACCATTTCTTCCTCCTTCTGACACCCTAACTGTAGCTAAGGTGGTTGAGCCCAAGTCAGCCAAGCCCTGGACTGTCTCCTGGATGGTGATTTTGAAGGCTCTGGGATATTCCTGCCTGGAGAAAGTGTTTTTGTTTGCCCAAGGTCCTGGGTCACCCCAGATGGCCTATGCCAATCGGGGGATTAATCGTGGGGACCTTGGACCAGGTGCTGTCAGCTAACCCGGGGAAGCGGATGTGACCTGGAGTCCAGGCCAGACTGACCACAGTGGGCTTCATCAGAACCATCGGCACAGTCCAAGTGGTCGTCACACTCTGGGTTCACCTTGCTCACGCACTGGCTGTTCCTGCAGGAAAAGGTGTTCCCGGGACAGCGACCTGCCACAGAGAAGAGCCAAGTTCCCTCCCACCTCAGTGACAAGTCACTTTCCACACTCACAGCACAGTTAGCCTCTCTTCTGTGTGCTTGTTGGTGTTAAGTGCTGTCGAGTTGGTACTGACTCACAGCGACCTGATGCACAATAGAATGAAACACTGCCTGGTCCTGTGCCAACCTCATAATCGTTGCTAAGCCTGACCCCATCGCTGCCACCACTGTGCTAATCCATCTCATTGGGGGTCTCCCTATTTTTCGCTGACCTTCCACTTTACCAAGCTGACGTCCTTCGCCAGGGACTGGTCCCTCCTGATAATATGTCTAAACTATAAGAGATGAAGTCTTCATCATCCTGGCTTCTAAGAAGCATTCTGGTTGTATTTCTTCCAACACAGACTTGTTTGTTCTTCTGGCAGTCCATGGTACTTTAAAAAATATTTTTCTCCAACACTGTAACTCACATGCAACAGTTCTTCTAGCTTTGAGTGTTTCTGAAATGATTGACTCAGAATTCGTGTAAAGAAATAACATGGGAATTTCAAGTAGCGCTGAGACCAGGTGATACCACGTGCTCCCTGGTATAAAATTAAATCCATTTATTCATGTCTTGGAAGACGACAAATCTGTGTTGGAAGAAGTATAGCAAGAAAGCTCCTTGGAAGCGAGTACAGTCAGAATAAATTCTGGTCAAGTGCTTTGGGCATGTTGTCAGGAGGGACCAGTCCCTGGTGAAGGTCATCATGCTTGGTAAAGTGAAAGGTCAGAAAAAAGAGCTCCCCCACAGATAGATTGGCACAGTGGCATCAGAAATGGGCTCAAACACAAGTATGAGGGTAACACAGACAGGACTGGGCACTGTTTGGTTCTGTTGTGCATAAGGGTTGCTATGGGTCAGAACGGACTCAACGGCATCCATAGCACAATAACGTGCATGTGGAGTGAGGTGTCTGGAAATGGAGTCACTGAAATATTCAGAGTCATAAGACCCCAGGTGACAAGCATGCTTTTCTTTTTCCCTGCCACGTTTCCTTTCTTGCTTTTCACAACTATTTACTGTGCGTCACCAGCTGCTCCTCGGAAACCCTATACAGGGTCGCTATGGGTCAGAGTCGACTCGGCGGCACTTAACAACGACTGTGAATTGGGTGAATGTTTACCGAGCAGGCCACCAGTTTTCCATTCAACAAGTCACACACACGTTGTTCAGCTCACTGACTGCTGTCCCCAAAGTGTAACCCTACTCATCCACTTCCTCCCTGGGTTTCCGGTTTCCATTCCGTCTTCTTTCCTAGACCTTTTCAGTTTTGCCCTGGGGGGTAAATACTGTCCTTTTAATTTCAAATAGTGGATAATTCTAACGAGTGTATACCTCCCTAGTGTTCTTGTTCCCCTTACACACCTGCCTACAGTTTGACTGAAAACTCAGTCACAGAGGTGAGTTCAGTTCGAGACCTGAAGGGCAACCAAGGCCCACAGTCTTGGGCATTCCACTAGTCTTTTCCTTCCAAAATTTATTGTAATTTTGAGTTAAGAATGTTTTGCTTTTATCACACTCCACATATAATTCAAAGTGGGCCTTTCTTTAATTCTTTGCTCACATGGGACTGAAAATCTACCCCCTCTGTAGTAGGCTGGAGAATAAGAATGACAGTTACCGATTGGCAAAAGTTATGTGATAGATATCATTTAAGTTGTTAAGTGTTGTTGTTGTTGGGGCAGGTGCACTTCAGTCCTCAAACTGACATCTTTGTACTTGAGCCTTTGGTGGTGATGGTTAAGTGCCGTGGAGTCGGTTCCGATTCATAGCAACACTGTACAGGGTTTCCGAGGCTGTAAATCTTCATGAGAGACGAAGTTTGGCCATCCTTGCTTCCAAAGAGCACTCTGGCTGCACTTCTTCCAACACAAATCTGTTGGTTCTTTGGGCAGCCCATGGCACTTTCAATATTCTCTTCCAACACCATAACTCAAAAGCATCAATTCTTCTACGGTCTTCCTTATTCACTGTCCAGCTTTCACATGCATATGAGGTTATAAGCTGACATCTT